TCAAACCCTTATTCCGATGCTGTCCTTAAGGTCTGAAAATATAAAAAAACGACTTCATTTAAAAGAGAACCCCAAACTCTCAGTCAGCTTACCCCAAACCCTCAGTCATTGTTTGCACACTCTGCTGCATGTTCTCTCTAAAAATCAGTCGGTTTATGTGCGCAAATCCGCTGCGTAAATCCCTATATACCCCATTTTGCCTATTTCCTAGAAATACGAGTTCGCGGATGCAAAGGGCGCTCAATGTCAGAATAAAGGTTTGACAAGAGTGCAATCTTGACCTACTTGCTCTTTGTGAGACTAATTTGAGTTCAGCTGTCTCATCTTGGGATCTTAGTGTTGATGGTTATCTTCCTTTAATTCATAAAAACTCCAATAGTCACATGCTTGGCCTGGGCATTTACATTCGTAAGAATTCACCCATTTGTCAGGAAACTAGGTTTGAATCCACAGACTACTCTTTTATGTGCTTTCGTTTAGCACCACTTCACTCTATCACCTTTCTCTTTGTTCTATATCGCTCTCCCTCATCTCAAGACTGCACTCTTCTTGATGTTATTTCTGATCATATTGACCAAGCCTTCTCTCTTTATCCATCAGCCAATATTGTTGTTGTCGATGACTTCAATGTTCATCACACTGAATGGCTTGACTCTAGTGTCAGTGACTCTGCAGGCATTAAGGCCCACAACTTTTGCCTTTCTCAATCCCTAACTCAAATAGTCAACTTTCTAACTCGCTTTCCAGATACCCGATCCATTTACCTTCTCTACTCGACTTATGTCTTGTTTCTGACCCTAGTCAGTGCTCAGTTTCTCCACACTCACCCTTAGGTGCATCCGATTATGGTTTGGTCTTCTTACGGTGTATCTGGAAACATCTTTAAGATTATTGAATCCTTTCTTTCCAATCGTAGTATAAAAGTTTTCCTTGATAGACAGCACTCTTCTTCTTATTCTGTAACCTCAGGAGTTCCTCAAGGTTCAATCCTTGGCCCTATACTCTTTTTAATTTACATTAACGATCTTCCAGATATTCTCACATCTAAGGTGGCATTGTTCGCTGATGATACTACGATTTATTCTTGTCACGATAAGAAGCCAACTCCCTCTGATTACTTGCAGGGGGCATTTGAGCTTGAAAAGGATCTCACTTCTGCTACAGCATGGGGCTCACAGTGGCTGGTGAACTTTAATTCAGATAAAACTCAATTTTTTTCAGCCAATCGTTATCGCAATAATTTAGACCTTCCTATATTTATCAACGGTAATGTACTAAATGAGTCTCCTACCCTTATCTTCTCTTTTCTACAAATACTATAATGGGCACTGCTCTAAAGAGCTAGCGTCTCTAGTGTCATCTATTAAAATTCATTCTCGTGTTACTTGTATTTCAATTAAGTCTCATCCTTTTTCTGTTACTGTTCCTAAGTGCTCCAAAAACTCTTATTCGTCTAGTTTTTTTCCTCGAACATCAGTTCTTTGAAATTCGCCTACTTCATCTTGCTTTCCTGATTCATATAATTTGCAATCTTTTAAGTCGTCTGTCAATCGTTATCTTGCTTTACAATCTTTATCTTTTCTCTTCCAGTAACTTCCAACACTAATTAGTGGTTGCTTGCAGCCTTGTTGGAAGATGTTAAAATAAAAAATATATAAAAATTTCGTCGTTAAAGAGCAAACAATTATTTAATTTAAAAAAAAAATTAAATAGAAAAAAAGCTAAAAAGGCCGGCTTAATCATAGCATAATAAACTGGCTCTTTTAAAAAATTGTATGGTAAAAAAAAATAACCTGAAATTTAACATTTTTTACCGAAACTTTAATCTAATATTATTTATGGAAAAGAAGGACACATTATATATAACAATGTAGCATATATGTTTTATCAAATAATACAATATTCTTTATCTTAAAAATAAATAAGTAAACCCCAAAAAAATTACTTTTTATTTTCAAAATTTTTAGTGCATCCTTACAACGCTAATTATTTTAGTAGAACTCTAAATTTTTTGTGGGTGACAGGTATCCAGCGTTGCTACACAAAAAGAAAAATATAATTATGGTCGGGTGCCAGTAAGTTAGATATGATGGCATCGGCTCTTCCAAAACCTGGCTCTTTCATGCACACCCCTACATGTATGTGTGTGTGTGTATATATATATATATATATATATATATATATATATATATATATATATATATATATATATATATATATATATATATATATATATTGATATAATTATATATATATATGTATATATATGTGTGTATGTGTGTATATATATATATATATATATATATATATATATATATATATATATATATATATATATATATATATATATATATATATATATATAAATATATTGATATTGATATTGATATTGATATAGAAATGCATTTCTATATATATGTAGGGTAAACTGGGGTAAAGTGAACTGTTTTTGATATTTAAAGGAAATATTTTCAAAATAAAAGCCAAAACATTTTGCAGTTTTCAAAATTTATACCATTTAAAGTATTAGGTACAATATAAAACAAAATACTAAGATTAAAAGCTACTTTTACAATATTAAATATATATTCAAAAAAAACATGTCCACTAGTTCACTTTACCCCCACATTGGGGTAAAGTGAACTACTTCATCTTTAACTCTTTTGTGTTTGTTATTTCTAATAAATTAGTTTTTTTATTTTGTATTTTGCCTTGCTGCTTGATCTTTCTTTTAAAACATTCGTTTTCTTCATCATTTAATCTTTTAAATGCATCTTCTGATGTAAGACACTCACCTCCATAGTGTCTTTTTATTTTTTTTGTAGGTCGTTTGTTGTATGAACGACCATCACCCTTTGTGGCCATTAACTGTTCTTTCACTATTTCTCTAATGATTTTATTTCCAGTAGAACAGTCTACATTTGATATTGATAGTTGATTTATTTTTTCATTGTTTAAGTCTTTTCCTACTGATATTATAGTTTTTTGTGAATTGTATTTATTTGTTGATTCAATAGAAAAATTTTCACAAGTATCGTTCTGATCATTGACATTGGTGTCTAAAACGATGTTTTGAGGGACGTTATTATTATAGTTATTTGTTTTCTGAGAAAAAGGGTGTTCATAGATTTCAGAAGGATTTAACTTGTCAGATGCTATAGCAGATGGATCAAAGGGAAAAATTCCAGTTTTGGCAAAGGATTGTACTAAATGAGCTGGCTTAAAGGAGGTATCATAAAGTTTTTTTAATAAAGATGGAAAAACAGATTTCCCAACCACCTTCAGCCTTGACTCGGTATACCAATTGGCCAGAATTTCACGCCATACATGTTTAACTTGGCGAAAGACTCCTACATCAAGTGGCTGAAGCAAATGCGAACAGTGTGCTGGCAAACACAAAATAGTTATATGATTTTCAACTGCTTTTTTAACAGTTTCTAAAGAAATATGACTAATGTGACCATCAAAGATAAGCAAAACAGGCTTGGGTGTGTCTTTCAACCATAAAACAAGATGGTTAAAGTATTCAGTGAAAACTTCTGTTTCCATCCAACCGTTTTTTGTCACCCCATATAAGGAACCATTTGGTCCACCAGTCATCCACTCTTTATACAAATTCTTCCCAGCAAATAAAATAAATGGAGGAAAATTTCTTCCTGCAGCTGATATTGTTGCTAGTACAGTAAACTGTTCTTTTCCTGATCCAGGAGCAATAGATACAGGGTTTTTAATACCTCTTTTGCAAATAATTTTTTTATTTATTGGGTTAGTGCAAAACCCACTTTCATCGCAGTTTAGTATTTGGGCAGATCTATTCATAATGTCACATTTTTCCAATGTTGCTTTAAGTAATAAAAACCAAGCATCAATTACAGTTTTATTACAAGCTAAGGCTCTTGTTAATGTCAAAAGCTCTGGAGTTCTTATAGATATTTCTTTCTGCCAACGATTTAAAAAATTACAAAACCACTGATCACCAGCAACACCATTAACAAATTTTTTCTGAAATCCGTTTAATTCAATATACGTTTGAACAAGTTTCATAAATTGTTTTTTATCTAATCCAAATCCAAAATCAGAAAATGCAGATAAAAGTGAAACAAGATCTTTTTCAGCATCAGCAGATAATCGGTTTGGTCGCCCTTCACCAACTTTTGAGCATTTTATGCCTAGAAGATGTCTTGCAATTGTACCTCTTGGAACACCATATTCTTTTGATGCAGCATACGAAGTCATTTCTTTATTTTTAACTTTCGAAATGGCATTTTGCAACAAATTAGGTGCATATGTTTTTCTTCGAGATTCTTTTTTCTTAATGTAGTTTCTTGGCATTATTTCAATATATTATATTTCTGAAAATAATTTTAAGAATATTTAAAAAAAAAAAAACTTATTTTAAGAGTAAACAATTTAGTTAAGTAATTACAATTTATATATTCAGTTCTACTAAAAATATTTGATGAAAAAACATAAGAAAAAGACTAGTTCACTTTACCCCCAATAGGCAGAAAAATAAGGGGTAAAGTGAACTAAATTGATTTACAAACTAAAAGCTTAGCTTTTTTATATTATGATAAAAACTACAATTTTTTTTTAACAGCATTATATTATCTTTAAAATGTATATAAATTATATAACTGATGTTCGCATTAATAACAACAAATCATGAATTTACTAAAACCCATAGCAAAGTTTGAGATCGTAATTTTAAAACTTCCGCCAAACTCGCTTTTTAAAATGGCTATTACATCAAAACAAAGGCTATATTTTATTAATTTTTTTATTTAAAAAATTTCAAAATGTTGTATTAAGCAAAAATAATGCTAAATTACTTAACAAAAAGTTTTTTAAACATGATAACTTTTTAGTTTAAAAAAATAGTTCACTTTACCCCTAGTTCACTTTACCCCAGTTTACCCTATATATTATGTCGTTTCATCGACGTCGACATAACGCCTTGTGTTTGCTAGGTATTCAATATTTTGTATTTAATTTAATAGGTAATGACAACGAGGACTTAAACGAACCGAAAGTAATCTCTGACAACGTGTTTGCTTTGCGTGAATTTAAATGTGAATCTATTAATCAGAGGTAATTTTTTTCCTGTTTTAAAATAAAATAGTTTTACGGGTTTTTATATTTAATTTTAATTTTAATTTTCAGCTTATGACGTAATCTTTTTTGAGGCAATCGAATAAATTTACCGACGGTCATCAGCTATTACTGAAGTTCATCAGCCTATTATAGGATAAAGTTTTGCTGAAGTTGTTTAAAAGTGCGTTTTAAACATAACGCCATTTTCTCCCTAAATTTCGTTTGCATTTAAGCAAAAGAGTTGTTTTATCATCTTTTTCGCACATTTTAAAACAAATTTAGTTATTCTTTCCTTTTATCTCCATGAATTAGCGAAGAAAAAAAAGCTTGCATTACATAATCTTTTGCAATAAATTCACAATTAACTCGCAGCTAATTTTTTAATGACTACTTTGTTTCATAGATTTAATTCTAATATATTTCAGTGGCGTATATATCTAGTTTTGAGAGCGAACATGTATAGATGCGTTTCTTAAATTTAATATTTTTCTATTGAGAGGGTATTAAACAATCAAGTTTTCTTTAACATTTACCTTAATAACCCTCTCAAATACGCCACTAATATAATTTGATAGTTTTTAATAGTATATTTGGTAGTTTCTTTTGACAAACATTATTTGCTGCATTAACTTATAAAATACTAAAATAAAATCCTTTACAATAAGTTTTCAAATTCAATATATATATATATATATATATATATATATATATATATATATATATATATATATATATATATATATATATATATATATATACATACACACACGTTTATATATATATACTATTTTTTATAAATTTTTGTCATAATGGTGTTAAAATTTTTATAATCTTTAAATTATTAAATGACATTATTTTATACTTATTGTCACTTAACACTCGATATATTGTATATAGACTTTAAATTCTTTTTAAGAAACACAGTATGATTTTTTACAAAAGTTTATAACAGGTTTATAACAGGTTGTAGTTTATCATCTTTGCGTTATACAAGTGCAGTCGCATGAAATTTTTTGTTGTTTCCTAATATATTTTACTTTACGGTATAAATTTTGTTTTATTTTATGTTCTTAATAATCTAATTTTAAAAAAGTTTTATATTAAAATGTTTTAAATTTTTTGCATAAAATGTAAAAATACAATGTTCCGTTAAGTTTTTTTTTTCAATCTGTTGAAAACCGGATATGCTATCATTATAAATAAGATATTTTGAAAATGTAATTTCATAAGTTTAAACAAAAAAAAGTTTAACAGTAACAGATTACTATAAGGTGGTCTTATGCCATTTAAAGTAGAAAATTTCAATTTTTTTTTTTTTTTTTTTAAATTTTATGCAAAACTTATATTAGTTTAAGATTTTTTAATAATTTTAACTAAATTCAGAACACAAGTTGGTATATTTTTATATTTAAACATAGTACTGAAAATGTTTTCCGAAGTTACGCTCCTGGCAACGGCTTTTTCAAAATCAAAAAAGTTTCTTATCTTTTTTACCCACTGCTAAAATGAATGTTTGAAAATGTTACCACTGCAGTTTTAAAGTATAGTTTGCCAACTTTCAAACTCATTTTTAGGCTATACTTTGTAAGAACAAAACCTTTTAATTTCATTTAATTTGTTTTAGTAAATTGGTACTACTATTTCTACTTTAGTAAATTGGTACTACTATTTCTACTACAGAATTCATTATAAATGAAACTCCGTGCTCAGTAAGTGGTTTAAAATTGAAAAATAATAATGTGAAGGAAGGAGATTTGAATATATCTTATTTGCTAATAGGCTTTAATATTTTGGCAGAAACAATATATTTGTATTCAGTTTGCTCAGAATGTAATCAAATGGGACTATGTACTCAAAATTTAACAACAGAAAAAAACGGATAGACAAATAAACTGAGACTTTCTTGTACTTATTGTCAATGGAGTAAAAATATTTTTACCTCGTTAAAAAATTATTTTACTAAGTGGTCAAAAATGTATTGACATTAATACTAGGTGTGTTATGGCATTTCGAGAAATCGGCCTTTTTTCGTATAGGGGAAGTGGGGGCATAACCGCATATGGAGGCACAACCGTTTTTTAACATTTCTCTTCAAAAAATGTTATCTTATATGGCAAAAAACATTCCACGCGTTAGTAAAACAGTTTCCTTCATTTTGCATATGTCAAAAAAAGAGTGACTGTTAAGTTTCTGAAAAGTTGTAAATAATAATGTTTATTTTGATAAAAATATTATATTTACATCATATTTTTCCTGACCTTCTTTTTGAGAATTAAGCAATATTTGATTTTAGTGTTAAAGATAAGTGTTATCAACATTATTTCATGAAGTGAAAGCCATTTTTGATAATATCATAATCTAATAATTAAGCTATGAAACTGAATTCTTTCTAAAAACTCTCTTTTGGGGCAGAACTCAAAATCTAAATACAAAGAATGCAAACATGTATGTATGCACAGTATGCAAACATGCAACAAAATTATCAAATAATCTGAGCTGTGAAAATTGTAAAAAAAAATGTACCATGAAAGGTGTAGCCCCATCGATTTTTGTGAGGGTGCGGTTGTGCCTCGCAATGGGGGCAAAACCGTTTTTTTCACTAAGCGTAATTTTTGTGTAATAACATTTTCAAAACCCGTTCAATTTTTTTTCTTAAATGCATCAATTTAAAGCTTAATGATGTGGTTATTGAAATAAACTGTTAAAAAAACACATTTCGTTTTTATTTTCAAATAACATTAATCCAAACGTTACGGGGGTGGTTATGCCCCCACTTACCCTACTAAGTTTAACAGATCCTATAAATCTCAAAACTTATAACGAAATTAACAATAAGATGTTAGACTCATACATGACTGCTGCTAATAAAAGTATAAACAATGCAGTTAAGGAATACAAAGCTAATATAGATGAAGTTGTTGAATGTACTGTATCTCTAGATGGAACATGGCAAAAAAGAGGTCATGAATCTCTTAATGGTGTTGTTGCAGCAATGTCTCGTACTAACAATAAGGTTATTGACTATGAAGTACTTTCAAAAAAGTGTCAAGCTTGCGTTTCAGTGCGTAATAAAAAAGACACAAATGAATACCAAATATGGAACAGCAGCCATAACTGTTCAATAAACCACAAAGGCTCAGCAGGCTCAATGGAGACACAAGGAGCAATTTTTCATCGATCAATTCATCAAAACGGTTTGCGCTATAAAAATTATGTTGGAGATGGTGACAGCAGCTCATTTCTTAAAGTTAGTATTTCTTAAAGAGAGTTAGCCATATGGTGAAGATTTTGTTATAAATAAACTTGAATGTGTTGGTCACATACAAAAAAGACTTGGGAATAGACTACGTTCACTACGATGAAAGGACAAGTTTTAGTAGATGGGAAAAAACTTGTTGGAAAAGTGCGCTTAACTGAATCTGCTATTAACTTACTGCAAAACTACTTTGGCATGCCCATCAGACAAAACTTTGAAGTTTATTGCATGAAAAAAGTCATTATTGCAGTTTTGCTTCATTGTAGTAAGTCTGACACTAAAGCTCAAAGAGCTTTAGTGTCAGACTCACTTTTTTCCAAGAACCAATGATAGTTGGTGCAAATGGTACAAACTAAATGAAGTAAGAAGGTTAAATTATGAACCTAAATTGTCACTGCCTGCTGATTTTAGGAATATTTTAAAATCAATTTTTATGGAGCTAAGTACTGACAGTTTATTGATTAAATGTTTGCATGGAATGACCCAGAACGTCAATGAGTCACTTAATGCAATAATTTGGTCTCGATGCCCTAAAAGTCAATACTGCAGTCAAAAAAATAGTTAAAATTGGTGTTTGTTCAGTAATTATTCATTTTAACGACGGTTTTAATGGACTTCATAATGTTTATAAATATTTAAACATTACTCCAGGAGCTTCATTTTGCATAAGTGGCCCAAAAAGACATTTATGTAGAATAAAAAAAGCTAACAAGAAGTCAAGTAGTTCCTGTAAAAAGCAAAGAAAAGTTATAAGAGCTAAAAGAAAGGGTTTTATTGATGAACAGACAAACACAAATGACTGTGATTCTTAAATGACTGAAGCATATTGATTTTTTTATGTGTAATGTTATTTTAATGCTTGTTATTTTATATTTATTCTCTTATTTTCGTTTTTTCTCAGTTTTTCATTTTTGCCTATTTTTAGTCACCGTTTCCAGAATAAAGCTTTCTAGACTTTACAGTTTGACCTAAAAATTTCCCAAGTCATTCGTTTAGGTTTGATCTACAACCTGAATTAAAATTAAAGTTTTTTACTTTTTATTTTTTGAGTTTTTGGTCTTAGAACTAATGTAACTATAGTCAATTTTTGATATTAATGATCTTTTACCTATAAAATATAACTACTCAATAAGTTATTTCAGTTCAAATTAAGTTCAAATTAAGTGATTTCAGTTCAAATTGTTCTTCATAGTAATACAAAAACTTTTGTAAAATTTTATTCAATGAGTAAATATGGTTTAAAAGTTATTAAGAAAACAGTAATTGGGATATTTCGGGTCCCAACATGGTTCAATAAGCCCGTAAAAAAAATTTTTAAATTTTTTAATTTTTTTAATTTTTTTTATATTTGGGCATCCTATTAAATAGAGTAATAAGTGTTTTAAGGTCAAACGTTAGTGACACAAGTTTGATGGTATAGGACCACCTTAAAATATAAACAAAACGAATTGGATTTTTTTCCCTTACTCGTCAAAATCGCTCTTTACTTCTAAAATGCTCTTTACTTTTCTAAGCATTAGGTCAAAAATGGGTACCTGTCAAACGAACGGGCGGATATCTGTTAAAAAACGGATACCCGCCCTATTAAAGAGTTATTATTATAAATAGTCAAAAACTTTTTAATTCAATGATGTCGTTTATTCTGAAATTTTTTTTTTAAAAAAGAAACATTTTCTATCGCTTTTTATTTCACTTCAAGTCCCAATTATGGTTTAGAAATACTAACATGTCCACTGCTTCGCCAAAGATGCACGCCGTCGTTTAAACACATGTCCAACAGTCGAGAAAATGTACTTTGATGGTACTGAGGTGAACTTTAGTTTTGTCGTATTCATTCAACTATAGTTGCATGTATGCACATGTTCTTGTGTGCTAAAATAGTGTAATTATATTTTCCAGGTTTTAAAAGATTTTTGTCCCATAGACAAGTTAAAATGCAAGTTGTATAAGTTTCTGTTTTATGTTAAAGAAAACATTTTACACAGGAATAATAGTAATCACTAAGTAATAGTTAAGTTAGTTAAAAGTTAAATTACACGCAGCGGGCGTGTTCCGTAAGCCCATCAACAGCTAGCCGTGCTAGCTCGTGCGAAATTGCACGGAAGATGATGCGCTGTAGTAATTATTAAAGCTGATCGAATTTTGCTTTGAAGCGATCGACACTGGTAGCACTGACTACTACGTTAGGTAATAAAATATTTTTGAATGAGGTCGCTGCGTAAACGTCTATTTAATAGAGAGGTGAGACCAAGTTTGATGCATCTTGTCTCGTAATTGAAGCGCTTTATTTCGTGCGGTACTTTGGTAACCCGATGCTGAACACGTTCTATGACATTTATGTCTTTTTCAAGATGCGGGCACCAGGCAGTAACTGCAAACTCGAGATGTGGGCGTATATAAGTGGTGTAAAGTTTTTTCCATATTTTGGTATCTCTGCTTATAAACGTGTTTTTCAATGTCCCGAGGACTTTATTAGCCTTGGCAGCGGCTATTTGTGCTTGCATCTCGTATTTTAAGTCGTTGGAAATTTGAACGCCTAGATCTTTTTCGGATGTTGAAGACTCGATTACTGTTCTAGTGACGCTACCGTTAGCGTCGTACTCGTTCATTAAATAAATGTGTGGGGAAACATTGTACTTACTGAAATGCATAACTTTGCATTTCTTGATGTTGAGTTCCATTAACCAGGTTCGAGTCCAGGTAACAACGCTATCTTTATCGGATTGCAGACGAGCTTTGTCTTCAGTGCTTTT